GGACGAAAAGCTGTGCTCTCAAAAGCCCCCCCCCCCCCCCCCCGACTGCTTGTGCCCCTTCTCCCGGCTGTAGGGTTGCCACCTGTCGCAGATTCACCTGGACAGTGCGGGTTGTGAGTCCCTGTATGTGCTGTGTCTGGGTTTCAGCTGGCCTAAAAACCCGGAAAAAGCACATACAGCACTCAAAACCCGGACTGTCCAGGCGAATCCAGGACCAATGGCAGCCCTGCCTGGCTGCTTCAGACGGCAAAAAAAAAAGGTAGGGACATCACAGGTGCAGTGCAATGTTTTCTCCCCAATTTCTGGTCTGAATGGAAGTATGAACCTGCTGGAGGAAGTGCGCTTTGAACTACAGAGCAGGGAGAGTAAGGAGGGATCGCTGGTGTGCTCTGCATTGTCCCTCTACCCCAGTGGAAGATGGGACAGCTGCCACCGCGCGACTTAGCACGTCTCTACTGACCCCCAGCATCACCTTAAAGAGGACCTGTCACCACCAATCTGCTATCACATGGAGGGCTTCTAAGCCCCCCCCATGTGATAGCAATTAAAGTAAAGTTAAAAAAAATAAAAATAACAGTTTTTTTTAAATAGTATCAAATTAAATAAATGTAACAATAATTAAAATGTCTTTTAAAGTCCCCCCGCCCCCGTGTCATAACGTAAACACGTATCAGGTGCGCCTAAGTATTAAAACAACAATTGTGATATGCTTGTTGGGTATCACCGCGCACGCCGGAGTGAGAAAAATAATTCTAGGGCCAATATGTATGCGTATCTCAAAACTGATGACCTGTGGGGGCTTTTAAAGTGACGTCTATGGACTTTTTGGGGGTACTGAATTTTGTCGCAGTTTCACAGACGCACACAATTTTTTAACCCGGGCATGTTGGGTATCTATTTACTTGTAACTTCATCTTTTATATTGTATTACAAAATAGGTATTTTATTGTGTTTCGGTGCACTAAATTTAACTTAAAGTGACATTAAACCCTCAGATTTTTTAACATAAAACAATACTGTAATGTGCGCCTTACTGTAATCCATGGTAGTTTCCCTTCTCTTTGCTGCTCTTCCTTTTAAATCCTCATGTCTTCTCATGCTGGGGGAGAACTTCCCTTTGCCGCTGAGTGCCTCTTCCTGTAGTGCTGGCTGTGAACCTGCACACAGACACCGTGTATCCATTGCAGAGACAAGGCAGTCTGCTGCAAAACAGAAGTTCTGCCCAGCATGAGAAGAGATACGGATTTAAAAGGAAGAGCAGCAAAGAGAAGGGAAACTACCATGGATTACAGTAGGGCGCACATTACAGTATTGTTTTATGTTAAAAAATCTGAGGGTTTAATGCCACTTTAAATGTATTTTTCACAACATTTTTCGGTTTGATAATAAGTTGTGCTAATATCGCGCAACATAAAAATTTGCAACTGCCACAATTTTGTTCTATAGGGTCCTGGCTTTCAGAAAATATGCAAATTTTGGAGTTTTAAGTAATTTTCAGGCCTAAAATGTGGATTATAACGTGTTCAAAAAAAAAAAAGGCCGCGGTCATGAAGGGGTTAATATCACTTTACGTTCAGTTGCGGTTTAAATTCCCCTTTTACTTTCACCTGAGTCCGTGGTTACGTGACATGCCAAGTCCGGAGTCTTCTTTGGGTGTCCATGTTGCTGCCTGTGTGACATAGACACTTCCCAGAGGATGTCCTGCGGAATGGGTCCTCTAGGCTTTGGAAGATGACTTCACAGCAAGGGGACCGGAGGGTAGCGGGCACGCACACTGCAGCTCTGGATGTGGCACATGGAGTGCAGAAGTCTGGAGTATGTCATGTACAGCGTGGAATGTAGAGTGCGGCTGTTTGGAGCATGTTACATACATCATGGCGCGTGGAGTGCAGTCTGGAGTATGGAATGCACGGCATGAAGTATGCAGCTCAGCGGTCTAATGGAAAAATGTTTTAAGTGCAATGTTACCACAGCTAGTGTTCATTAAAGAAGAACGCCGGGTAAACATTTTCTTAACCCTTGCAGTCGGGCCAGTGGCGTCACAAGGGGGGTGTGGCCCGGGTGACGCCATTGGAGGGATGCAAAACAAATGGCAAACGCACTCATCAATTTGTAACCAGCTCTTAGCAAGGTGCACATGGATGGGCTTTATACAGTACAACAGCAAAAGGTTTCCCAGCACACTCACCAGCCAGCACGCAAAAAAACTTGTCTCACCGCCTCAGCTGCCGTTGTGATGTGCGGGTTCCCTTGTGAGTTCCTGTGTCTTTAAGGAGGTTGGGCTTCCTCCTCAAACCTGCACCCAATTTTAAATTTTGCCCCATGCGCTCCAAGACGGAGACTCTCATAGTTTAGAGTTAGGACCGCAGTATAAGAGGTGCCTTGGCGCGGCTGTGCGGCTTTCACATTTTCTGTAGAAGACGTGTATCCAAACCTCTGTTTTTAACTTTAGCGGTGAGACTAAGTTGTTTTGCATGCTGGCTGTTGAGTGTGGCGGGAAAACTTTTTGCTGTTGTACCATTGGAGGGGTGACACCAAAATGACTGAAGATGGCCGGCGACAGGTATCAATATGATCGCTGCGCATGCGAGATGGTGTCACGGCGGGGTGTCACCCGGTAACCGCTCCGGGAGGCCCTACTGCAAAGGTTACAATTTTTTTTACCCCGAGTTGTTCTATAACTGCTTATAAATCTGACTCGCAGGTCGCACATGGCCAAGGTATTATGTGACATTACCTCTACACCCCAATATCTGCCCCCCATCTTTTATCATGTCCTTAGACCCCATTCCCTGGATATAATGTTATCCCACTGACACCCCAGTATCTGATATTCTACATTTCCTGCCCTTACACCCCATTTCCCAGATATATAATGATCTCACTGACACCCCAATATCTGATCCCATAAATATTGTCCTGTCCTTACACCTCCCACCCTCTTATTATATAATTATCCCACTTGTACCCCAATATCTGCCATTTCCTGATACCCCATTCCCCAAATATATAATTATCTCCACTTTATCTCCACTGACACCCCAATATCTGATTCCATCTTTTATCATGTCCTTTCACCCCATTTCCTGGATAGATAATCCACTGATACCCCAATATCTGATCCTATTTAATATCCAGTCCTCATACCCCTTTCCTTGGAATACATCATTATCTCACAAACACCCCAATATCCCCCCCACCCATCTATTCTGTCTTTACACCCCATTCCTTGGATATATATTTATCTCACTGACACCCCAATATCTGATCCCATAAATATTATCCTGTCCTTACACCCCACCCTCTTATATAATTATCCCACTGGTACCCCAATATCTGCCCCATCTTTTATCATTTCCTGATACCCCAAATATATAATTATCTCCACTGACACCCCAATATCTGATTCCATCTTTTATCATGTCCTTACACCATTTCCTGGATAGATAATCCACTGACACCCCAATATCTGATCCTATTTAATATCCAGTCCTCATACCCCTTTCCTTGGAATACATCATTATCTCACAAACACCCCAATATCCCCCCCACCCATCTATTCTGTCTTTACACCCCATTCCTTGGATATATATTTATCTCACTGACACCCCAATATCTGATCCCATGAATATTATCCTGTCCTTACACCCCACCCTCTTATTATATAATTATCCCACTGGTACCCCAATATCTGCCATTTCCTGATACCCCATTCCCCAAATATATAATTATCTCCACTTTATCTCCACTGACACCCCAATATCTGATTCCATCTTTTATCATGTCCTTTCACCCCATTTCCTGGATAGATAATCCACTGATACCCCAATATCTGATCCTATTTAATATCCAGTCCTCATACCCCTTTCCTTGGAATACAGGATGGTGTCGGACCCCGAAGTGGTGCTGTCATTGTGTATGAGGCTGGCATTGGTGCCCCTCCATAGTGTCTCCTCCTCCGGCTCATGTCAGCGCTCTCCCCTCCCTGTATGAGCTCTCCCCTCCTCCTCCTCCTCTCCCCCCAGAGCTCTTCTGCTGCTTCCATACACCCGATCACCCGGATTCTGCTCTCCGGTAAGTACCCTCCAGTCTGCCGGCCCATGTCCACCGGCTGCCTGCGGGGTTATCACGGCGCTGCCAGGCGGGCACTGCCCATTGTTCTGCACGCCAGACACCGCGCAGGGTTCCCGCTGGGTGGCCGCGATCCGCCGGGTGGACTGCAGCTGCGACCAGCCCGGTGACCGGGGCTGAGATCCGCCGGGGGTCACAGATGTGTCCCCCGGGGGAGATGAGCTCTGCAGTGTCTGCAGCACACGCTGTGCATCGTGATGAACTTACTCCAGTGTAGACTGCAGACATATGTGTTATGACTGCTGGGAGGTATGATACACACGGCTTACATTGTGCCTGCACTGAACTCCATCACATGTGTGTGTGTACCATGCAACCCTCTGTATGCACACATGTAGTATGTACACAGACCTGCATGATGCCTTCCACTCTAACAGTTTTAAAGAGCCCAATGCAGCCACCACCCATCCTGTATCATGACCTGGCACTTGTTCAGCCGTCTTCACATACATCCCCAGACTGACGCCTCTTCTGGTTGTTTCTTTTGGGAATAGGGATTTCTAGAGCTAGAATTCAGGAACCAGTCAGTCCGAAGTCAAATTATGTGTGAATAGCTGAAGAAAAAGCTTGGAGGCGGCTGTGTATTTCTAAATGTCTTGCGGCTACCTGACTGCTGGCACCTGTCCAGCCCTTGCGTGGGGTCAGATGGTATGCGGGCAATGTAGTTGTAGTCCATACAATGGCGCTTTACATGTGTTCATACTGACTCGGCGGAGAGTTATCCCGATCATGGATGGAGCGAATGTTCCTCGAGTCCGCAGAGGTGACAGATCTCCGCAGAGGTGAACATACACTATACAATCTGAATGTACAAGGCTAGGTTCACAGCTAGGCGACACCTCACCGCGCGGCAATCGTGCACGATTTCGCACGTATTGCCGCGCGGTCAGAAGTCGCCATGTTATGAATTGATCATGCTGTGGGTGCCATTATTTTCTAATGGCACCCCAGTTGCGCCGGGCGGATCGCGCGGTTTCCCGTCGCGATTCTGCCCGTGCTTTCCGATCACAGCCGCGCGTCGTGTATCGCAAAAAAAAAGGTACTTGTACCTTTTTTTTATGCGATTGCAGCGCGGATGTCGCGGATTAAATCAATGGGGCCGCTCGGCAAACGCTGCCTGCATTGTACAGGACCTCGCGATCCTGGGACGCGCGTCCCGGGTGTCGTGCGGTGTAGTGCAGGTGTGAACCTAGCCTAAGATCTACCAACAACCATATAGTGCAAGGGTCTGGATGGTTTCATACAAGAATGAATTGTTTATGTGTGAGCTCATGTGACATAGTTTTGGTAAATGTAAGAGATTGTATAGAGATTGTACAATCGGATTGTATGGGGTATATGGCCAGCGTTAGCTGTGGAGTGATATAGTAATTGCAGAAAATCCAACAGTGTGTACAATGTAACTCCTATTATTATAATTATCACAGTGGCACGTTTATCCGACTCCAGATCAATGTAACCGCGAGCATTACTTTTGCGCACGAACCTTTTGCACTTGTAATCGATCGCTTTGTGAAAACCAAAAGGCTGCTCCTGAACATCATCGATCCGATCGCAGGCGATGACAATGTATCAGATTTGATTCCCTGCGATTTGTTTCCGATTGACGGCCTCCCTGGGTGACGGTCGTCTGCTGGGAACGATCTCCCTCCCGGGTGGACAATTAGGATACTTGGCAGTTTGACATTTTGTAGACATTTCGGTCCATTGTTTGGAAGCGGTCCGGGGGGAAGTATCGGGATTATTATCTGGACACTTTACTCCAATAATGAAATCTGCAGCTTGTTGTCTCTACACGGAAGAGTCTTTTCCTGCCGTGTTTTGTGGTGGTTTGGTTGCCCCCTTCCTCGTCTCACACGGGGAATGGCGGCACTATTGTTTGGGAAACATATGTGTGTTTTATTAAGTCAACGAGCAGCATGGAAATAACGGAAACACATGGAAGCCAATCAGAAAGCAGCTTCCTTTGTTTCCTCTGAGGTGCTTCATCCTCCCTAGCTCTATGTGCACAGTGCAGCCATCCAGCCCAGACAAGCCGGCTGCAGTGAACCGATCGGGCTGTCGCTGTGGGTTATATATGGGGATATATTTCGAAGCTGCTGCTGGGCTTTATCATGGTCATCCTTATTTCCGGACCAGAGCCCTGCAAGCCTCACTGCAACTCATTTCCTGTGAACAGCATCATAGAGGAACTGCTTGCTGGTTATGTGCATTGTGGTGGAGCCTATTTTTGCATTCGTACGTTAATGTTCCTTTTATCAGTGTTATATAAAGCCGTGCGGGCTCAGAGGACCTGTGCAGCTAGTAGATTAGGCAATAGCTTATATCCTGCTGAATGACATCACATGGTCTTTGGCACTTTGAAGTTTATTTAAATGAAACAACAAAAATGAATATACTGCAGTGAATCAGTCCCTGGGTGTGGTGGTTGTGTTAGTTTTCTTTTTTCAGGTTTTCTTTCCATTATAATCACCGGGGGATCCTGCCATTAAAAGAGAACTATGGGGTAAGTGTTTTTCCCCATAGTTCTCTTAAGGGTCACGGGGTGGGACATAAACTAGCGTCCTCCCGTCACCCAAAGCTCAGTATATCGTGAGCTATAGCTCATTGTATACTGAGACCGCCGCAGCCGAGATAGAACCCAACGTTACTGTGGAGATCCGCCCAGCTGCGTGAGTGACAGCTGGCTCTGCCTATCTAGAGGCAGAGCCAGCTGTGCCCGCCCCCTTCCCCGTCCGTTCCGCCAGTCAGCGCTGGACATCAGCGTCTTTTTTTTTTTTGTACTCACTATGTTCACACATTTTCAGGCTTGGTGGTTTTTCAGTGTTAGCCATTGGAAAGCTAGTTAGGAGACTATTGTAAGGTGCAAAATCACAGGACGTTGTCTGCTGACGAGATTTCTGGCAGGATCAACATCATTTTTCTTTACAATCATCAAACAGATATAACAAAACACCTGTCATTGGATATTTAACAGACCCAAAGGGAGCAAATAAGAGAAGTTTATTATTGGGGGTTACATATATTTTAAAGACGTCTGCTGTATGCGAGATTGGATTCCTAAGTTCAGCATTAATCTGTACCCCCCCCCATGGACCTGGTCTGCCCATGTATCTCCATGCCACGGGTCGCATTTCTTCATATTGATGCTGTTGGGCAGCTTATTGCTCAGAATTGGTTGTGAATAGGGCTGCAACAACTAATCAACATAATCGATTATAATCGAAGCAAATGTCTAAATCCTTACACATGCCGTGAAAAAGCTTTTGCATGCCGACCACCTAGAGCCATCAGCCGGACAAATCTGGCCTCAGGGCTGAGAGTAAAGCTTTCATGTCAATGAGTGTGATGTTCAGGTAAGAGACAGTCCGGAATCCAGGAGGATGCTTTGTAGCTGCATTCTCCTGATTCTACCTTTTGTTGCCCATTAGGACATAAGCTGTATTATTTTTGAACACTTTGAACGCTTCGATCCCGTTCTTTATCAGTCTGTGACAGACTGCAGTCTTCTCCTGTCTGTTTCCTGCTTTGGAGATAAAAATGTCCCTCGTGTTCCCTATTTGTCTTTATAGCACAAAGGAGAATTCTAAAACTACCTGGATATAGACAGATGTCAGCGAGACTGACAGGCGGTGAGACATCTCCATGTCCTCGAACCGCTAATGCTCCCAGGACCCATCACAGCTCCAATATGTATGTTATGAGGTTCCCTTTAAAGGAGCACTCCAGTCAGACGTGTCAGATATTCCACTTTCCTGACATGAGCGGTCCAGCTGAGTGCTTCTAGTTTCCATACAGACTCTGGTCTTCCGTACCAGGCATTACCCATATTTAACCCCAAACCCCCCTTTCCCTCTAGACCAGGGGTGGGCAAAGTTCGGCCATCCAGCTGTTGTGGTCAGGGCAGCCATCAGAAATTTTCCAGGTCCCTTACACGGCTTTAGGCCGGGCCCCCCCACCGCGCCGCTGGACGCAGGGCTTAGTGACGCGCTGGACGCAGGGCCCACCTGAGAGTGACCCTGCAGAGCCCACCATAGATGCTGCACAGCCCATCTGAGACTGTCTATGGTGGGCTCTGAAGGGGTCTCAGGTGGACTGGTCAGGGCTGCATCCCTCCCCTCCCTACTTTCCTTCCTTTCTTGCTCCTCTTACCTACACACATGGCCTCGTCTGCCGCCGGACCGGCCAGAAGTGACGTGACGTCACTAACGTGACGTCAGTCCCGGCCAGTCTGACATCAGACGAGCAGCGTCACTGATGGGGCCCTAGCTTGTCTCAAAGCCGCTGGAGCGGCAATGCTGGGGCCCTGCAATGCTGGGGCCCTGCACTGCTGGTCCAGGCCTTCCGCCTCCTCGCCCTTCATCGGCGGCTGATAGTCATGTAAGGGACCCGGGTGGGCCCCCCAGGCTGCCCGGGCCCCTTACATGAGTATCGGCCGTAGCCCCCCTGATGGCTGCCCTGGTTGTGGTACTACAAATCCCATGAGACATTGCAAGAATCTCACAGCCAAAGGCATGACTCTCAGAGACATATGGAATGTGTAGTTGCACCATAGCTGAAGGGTCGGAGTTTGCCCACCCCTCCTCTGGAGCATTATTTTATCCTTTACCTTGTCTTTGTTGTAAGAATAAGCTGTGACATCATCTCCAAGCTTGTAAGATGATGTAAGCATGTCCTCCTCCCCCCCAGAACTACATTTTCCAAAAGCCCTTTCCCTACATACAACATGTGGAAGTCAATCAGCAGTATTGTTTTGCTTGGAAAGAAATGAATGTATGCGTGTGGAAAGGGACGTGGTTAGGTGGGGTTCTGTAGTTCAGCAGGCAGGGCTGACAACACTGCTTGAGATTTCAGTGCAGTAGAGGCATTGTGTTGTCAGACCAAATGGGAAGTCAGGAGCTTACTGGATTTCTGGTAGATCAGCAGGTATTTTTCTGTACTTG